AGCCTACTGTAGCAAAATTTGAGTTAAATACACAATGATTCAAGTTAAATATGCAATGTTTGAATTCATTACACAATACTACTGTTCTGGCTTACGTACAAATTTGACTTAAGGACAGACCTTGGGAATGGAACTCATTCTTAAACTGGGGACTACCTATATTTCTGACACTGTTTCCATGCACAGGATTCAGAGAATCTCAAATTTCACATAGAGTTGTGGGAAAGAAAACTTATTCATAGTCCCATCCACTGCTGTCTTGAAAAGAGGAAGTATAGGTTGATTACATTCAAAAATACTGATGTGTACTTTGGGACTAATCACATTGATCTCAATGGGACCGACTTCTAAGCATATCTGTATAGAACTGTGCTGACAATGTATATTTCACCCATCAGTAACAATTCCAAAAGTAAATTCTTGAGAGGAAATGTAAAAAAAATTACATTTTCCCCCCAAATGATGAACTGGAAATTCTTCCTTTGACTCACATTAAATGAAAGAGAGAGGGAGGAATCCCAAGGGCAAATAAATGGTATGAAAAGTTTTGGAAAATGTATTAATTTTTAAGGGCACTGTATAAACAGAAACAAAAATAAATACTAAAATGTGTTGCAAACATACATAAGTTATAACAATATTTATTAAAAAGGCAAATAAAAACTATACATTTAGTTTGTTTCTGCTAATACAGTGTTCTTCAAAAAGGAACATGTTTTCCAAAACACATCCGGCCAAATAGTAGCATTTTTTAATTTGCACTTGAGATTCCTTCTTCTTTCGTTTCTGTAGGGAGTAAGGAAGATGATCCTGAGGGAGATAAACATGATCTGTTGCCCAGGCAAAAGGTGCTAAGGCATTTTTTAATTCCACAACAAGGCAACATTTGGAAGCAGCTCAGGCAGTCAACTGTCTAATTCACTGGAATATAAAATGGAGGAAGAGGTACAGAACAATCAGATTTGCAAGATTCTGTTATTATAGCCAGTCTCAATAAAAGTAATTTTCACCTTCATGTGGAGTTGATTTCCTGGTCTGGTCTACCTAGCGGGGCTGACAGTTTCTTCAGTGCCTGTCCTTTTCTTTCATTACTCATTTGCCTCACATCACATTCTGGCTAAGTAACTTATACCCTTTGCACAATTTGGCCAGAAACCTAGGAAAGGAGCTACGATTCCATTCCTTGGGATTGGAATAGGTTAGGATTAGGGATGGGCAAATAAACTACATCTGCATGTGTTAAGTCTCTGGCTATTTTTAACAAGCACATCTGCTAGATCTGGGGTCACCCATGCACTAATTACACAGACTGATGCAGTCCTATTGTTTATAATTATAGGCATTACTGGGGAATACTATAAGTCTTTAGAGGATCAAGAGTTATGTATTGCTAAGGCTGTAGTCCTGTGCAGTTGCTTGGGAGTAAATTATATTGAATTCTGACTTCACTTCTAAGCAGTCATATATAAGATTGTACTGGCAGGATATTTCTTATTAACAGTGCTGTTGAAAAATGTTAATGGAAAGTGTATCTTTTGCTCCAAAAACAGTTACAATTTGATCGTTTTTAGATTTCCTTTTTGATATAGCTAATTATCTATAATAATGTAAATACACACACACACATATATATATAATAGACTTTTGAAAGTATGGAAACTTTTTATTCAATTAGAAAAAAATACAAAGTTAGATAATGAGAGCAGGAGAGAGGAAAAATTTACCTTGTACATGAAATAATTGAAAATAATATTGTTAAAAGATATGCGATGGAGACCAATGGGATCACACCCTTAGCAAGTTTTTCAAATTCTTTCTGTCTTGACAGTGAGGTAAAATGGGCTACCTGCCAGGTTAGAGGGGGAAGGAGGGAGAGAAGGAAGAAGATAAGCTTTCAATTATTTTACCTTCTAAAATATATCTTAATTATCTAAAGGATTTAAAAATAGGCTGAGAAAAAATAAATTTCATTATTACTATCCATTTTTTTTAGTATGCTTTAATATATTACAAAGAATAATTAGCAGAAACTTTTACAGGTTGTCCTCGACTTATGTCAGCAATTGGAACCGGAATTTTCATCGCTAAGCAATGCAGTCATAAAACACACTGCATCGCTTAGTGACAGCAATCCCTGCATTCCCGGTTGCCCTTGTTAACCGAATCCCACAGTAATTAGGTGAGGCAACTTCTTGCCGGCTACCCACAATTAAGTCAGCAGGAAAGTCGGCAGGAAGTTGCAAGTCCCAGGCAGCTTGCAAGCAGGCCAACAGGGAGGTAAGTGGCGGCTGCTGCTGAGTGGGGGAGGGTGCGAGGGGGTGCACAGGGATGGGAGGGAGGCATGGCAAGGCTTAGGGAGGGTGCATGAGGGAGGCACAGCAAGGGTCAGAGAGGGTGCAGAGGGGTGTGAGGGAGGCGTGGTGAGGGTCAGGGAGGGTGTGCGAGGGTGCACGAGAGGCATAGTGAGGCTAAGGGAGGGTACACAGGGATGCGCAAGGGTTGCATGACGAGGCTTGGGGAGTGTGTGAGGATGTAAGGGAAGCACGGGGAGGCTCAGGGAGGGTGCGTGAGGGCGGCAAGGGTGTGCGAGAGTGGAGCGGAGGCGCAGCAAGGGAGATGTGGTGAGGGTGCGTGGGGGTGTATGAGTGGCTGGTGCAAGCACAGAAGGGCTGGGGGAGGGTGCATGGGTGGAGGAGACTTACCCCAGTGACTTGTGACCAGCAGGGAAGATCACAAATGGCAATCATATGACCATGGGGCACTGAATTAATGGAATTAATAATAAAAGCAATGAAATTATTTGGGATGAAACTGAAATGATAAAATGCTAGAAGAATATTTTAGACTTCTGCACAGGACTGATAGCTATATGATAGTTATATGTTGAACAGTAGAACTGAAATGAATGGTATAAATGTTAGTGTCAGAGAAAAAGATGGATGAAAAGAAATCTGAGAATATTAAAAAATGCTAAGACTGTAGGCCTAGATGATGTAACTGGACAAATGTTTAAAGACAGATGTAGTTTGCTTACAGAGTGCAGTGATGCTATAAGTCTGATTCTTGTGAAACGCTTAATTTTTTCTACTCTTCCTGGGCTTTTTTCTAAAGGATGTTACACTGAGTCTGCCACTGAACCTGCATGTCCGCTCCAAGCAGCCTGAACGCTGTGCTTCCTGAGACTTTGTGCAGGATTCCCTCACAGCTCTGTAGCTTTGAGTTATCATGCTTTCATTAGGTTGCACAAAAGTGGGATTGTGGGGACAGTATAAGCACTGCAGTACTTGGGGTAGGGGCAAGAAAGAGAATAGCAATGGATTGACTTTAATGAAGCATGAATGTATGGCAGTTCCATTGCAAACAAAAAGGGGAGGGAGTAACAGAGGCTTTAACTTATTATTGGAACCAAATGTTGCTTGATGTAATGGGCAGAATTCTGGGGGAAGTGCATTGAGACTTGCAAGATTCTGTTACTATAACCCTATAATAAAAATAGTATTAGCATGCATGACTTTGGTTTCCTAGTCTGGTTTACCTTGAAGGGCTGACATCAATCTTGCAAGTCTCAGTGCACTTCCCCCTTCCATTCATCTTCATGAGAACTAGGAAGGGTCTTGTCTGAGATGCTTACTCACTTACTGAGGTTACAGTTCTGCCCTGGACTCAGATTTCTTTTATCTGACCATTGTCTTGGTTGTGGCTCTTCCTTACTGTTCCTCAAGGTTATTCCTTCTTTCCATTACACTTAATTTAAATAATGCTCTTGATAAAGTAGCTGTGTAAAGCCTGAATCTGTGCCTGACAGTTGGAAGAATGCCATGATTGTGCCTGTATAGCTTTAGACCAGACAAGAGATATACAGACCAGATGCTGGCTTTCAAGAGATCTTTGAGAAATGTATGGATGTGAGAAAGTTTGCTACACATTTGTTGATTTAGAGAAAGCGTATGATGGAATGAATAGGCTCCACCAATGGAACATTTGCACAAACAGAATGTTGGTTGGTTGCTGAATGCTGGAATTATGGAAGTAAAGCATTTCAGACTAAATGGAATGCTTTGTGAATAGTATGACATTGAGCAGGAAGTATGACAAAGATGTTGTTTAATATATTTATGGGTAGGTGTATCAGAAATACTTTGATGATGTTACACGTTGATCAGGTATGCAGAAGGGTGGAGGCTTGCCTCTGAAGGAGAAGCAGTCTCCATCTCTTCACTATTGAAGTTGCTGTCATGCAACCTGCATTAAAAAAATGGGTGCTGAGATGGTTTAATTATACATGGACAATATATGAAGAAAGAGTGAATAAGCCGAAGCAAGTCAAGTGAATAGATGAAGAGGACAAGAAACTTTGCAGGAGACTGAGGAGATCCTCAAAAAGAGAGGTGAGAAGTTTAAAAGGCAATAGACAACTGTTGTATGCACGTGGTGCTGGAGGCAAGGAAGGTTGGCAAGAATATTGCTTAGGAATTGTTAGTGTTTTCATAACCTGCCTATTCTCAGAAGGAATAGCATTATGTAGTATGTACACAGGTTTCATTTCAAACCAAAAGAAGGGGGGATGAGGTGAGCGCCTTTCCTAATTCCTCCATACCTTGAGAGCGGTCGGGTTCAGGGCGCGCAGTACACGCGGGACGCGCTCCAGAAAGGCCTCCAGCCAGAGCGTGCTGGCCTCCCGCTGCGAGGCGTCGTCCTCCTGCAGGAAGTAGATGAGGCGCAGCGCTCGGGCCGCGAGCAGCGGGCGCGCAGGCTCGGCGCCCGGGCCCAGCGTGACGCCCCCCAGGAAGAAGCCCAGGAACAGCCGCCCGCGGAAGACCGGGAAGGTGAGCTGCGGCAGCAGCGTCTCGATCTCGGCCGGGTTGCCGCGGACGGCGCTCAGGAGCGGGTTGGGGCTGATGCAGGAGCCGTTGGTGCGCGCGCAAAAGTGGTCTAAGGACACCCCCGCCACCCGTATGCCGCGCACGGCCCGGTCCAGCGCCAGCAGCTCGGCGAAAGCCACGCGCGTCAGCAGCGAGTCGCCGTCGCGGGCCGCCACGACGATGAAAGTGGCATAGGCGCCTTGGGTGCTCAGTCTCTCTGCAGAGAAGTTCTTGGCGTCGTCGGTCGGGAAGTGCGCCTGCACGAAGCGTCGCTCCAATTTGGCCGGGCCGCCGAGGGGCGTGAATTGCCCCTCCAGGTCGTTAGGTTGACGTATAGGCAGGAAGACGAAGCCGGTTGCCAGGACGCCCGAAAGCACCAAAGGCACCAGGAGAAAGGGCCACGGGTGGGAGCCCACGGAGGCGCCCAAGGCGCGGAGCGCGCGTGAAAGGGGCTTCTCCACGCAGTCGGTGCGGCAGCCGCGGGGCGGCATCTTCACCTTCCTCAGCGGCTCCCAAGCCGGGGCTCCTCGCCCCGGGGCCCGACGCGACCGTTTCCGCGCCTTTTTCTCCTCTCCCGTTCTCTGGCTGAGCGACCGTTACTCGCAGGACCGGGGGGCGTTCGATTTGGCGCGGCTGCCCTCGCGCTCCTGACATACGCGGGGCGGCTTCCTGAGCGGGGAAATTGGGCTGGAGTAACCCGGTCCTTTGGCGAAGGAGCCTGTAGCCTACTCTGCCCCTTGCTTAGGTGGTTCTTGTACAGATATATTTATTTTTAAATTCCCCAGGCGGGGAATCTTAACCTCTTCTCCTCCTCTATCCCATTCCTGCCATCTGAAAATAATAATAGGGTTATCCAGTGATGCTGATTGTAAGACAGTCACAAGGATCTGCTTCATCCTGTGCATAGTATAAACCAGTGTTTCTTAAAGTGTCGTCCTAGGACCCATGGGGGTCCCCCAAGGCCCTCACAGGGGTCTGTGAAATCAAAATTATCAACAACAAAAAATATTGATAAATATCATCCAGACAAACAAAAGCTCTTTTGGGGTCCTCCATAATTTTTAAAAGTGGGAAAGGGTCCAGAGAGAAAAAAAATTAAATGCTGGTATAAACTATAAATTTGGCTGGAAAAAAAAGTGATGTAGCCCATAAATTTGCCACTTGTGGAATGTTATCTGTAATTAATGTTTTCTATTGTTCAATTCTCATTTGTAATCAGTGCCTTTTATTGTTTGATTACTTGTTTTCTGATGTATCACATATAATCGAATGTATGTATCATTTGTTTCTGTACACTATAAAAAGGCTTGACCCTGCTCTAATAAAAGCTTTTTGCTTTGTCTGAATTACTGGGTGGTTTGTATTTTCTGGTAGGCTAAGAAGCTATCTTTGCAAAGGAAAAATTGTTTTCTCTCCCAAGTTCAGGGAATAGGTCTTCAGCTCCATGCCACTTGGGTTGCCTGAGTTTTAAAGGCAACAATGCTGTGCAATGATTTCAGAAACAGAGGTACTATAGCTTAACAACCAGCAAGGAAGAGACTTCTGGGTTAGAGTTAGGGTCAGTAATGATGTTGTGAGAAAAATGAATCTTTGGGTGAAAAAGACAAGTTTTTAGAGGCCTCAGATGAATGG